TCACATATGCCCATCTCACCTTCAACTTCCCGATGAAATATTAATACATGGTTTGAGGGACCGTACACGGACGACATTGGTGACTAGGGCTGTACGATATATCGATATTTTAACGCGATATGGAGCTGCGACGATGTTGGGTGACATGAACTAGATCTGTTTAACGTAAACTCATCTCATCTTACGATGGTACTCTATAGGAATCCATTTGACGGAGATAATCTTATTCCCATATGAAACCAAATCATTTTAAAGTTTAACGGATCTGGTGCATGTCATTCATTGAGCTCGTCCTAGTACAGGCAAACAGATTTTTTCGTTTATCTCCCGTTCTGTACGCGAGAAAGTTCGCTCATAGCCAGAGCAGTAATAATTGACATAGGTCGTACCACGATACGATAGATCGCGTTGCTCGTCGTAAGTGATAGCTCCCTTGTTTCTCCGTCAGCTTCGACGAATAGAGAGGAAAGAAAAGGGAAGCCACGATTTCCAAGAAAATAGAAATATCGCAATACTCCCCTGCTCCCCCCACCCCGCAGCTGCGATAAAATCAAATAGGGTCGGAAGAGGGGGAGAAAATAAGGAGGACCTGGATTTCCAAGACGCCAACGCAGCTTTGTGCCTTCCCCTTTTTCCACGGCCCCACACGACCCATATCCTATTCCCCCCTCAGCAGACGATAAATTGATACATCGCGATACTGCAGGAAGACGATACGATATTGTCCAAAAAAATATCGTGCAGCCCTACTGGTGACCCTCACTCAAGCTAATAATTGAGCACGTTGTCGGTGTGCCAGGTGCTTTGGAAGATAAGAATTTCTTGAATAGACTCCGTAGCAATGCGTACACTCGGGTGTTAGCTTCGTGTCGCCGATGGCTCCCACCCCTACTCCGGACGTCAACGCGATACTTCGAGTACTGGACCTGCCGTATGGAAAGCCAAGAAAATGGAGTCATGGAAAGTGATTGGCGAATCGGTGTTATCGGGGTACAACAATGATCCAATTAAGAAATGAAATAGGAATGAAGTCAAATGCCATACGATGCTAAACGAAGACGTCCGGATTTTCACCCGGGAAGACTGGATTTCGTGTCATTTGTCCGAAGTCCCATACATTGCTTCAAAAGGACAATAGAAAATAAGAATATTATACAACATACCGGGTGGTCCAAAAAAAGTCCCGAACTTCGTGCGTCTGTGTACGGGACACCGTGCAAAGCATTGCCTTTTTCAAATTCTCTTCGATCGATTTGACGGCAGCAATCTTGAACGGACGAATCCCGGGTCATCATCCGGTGGACCCTCGGCGTAGGCGAGTCTATTCATGAATTCAAGTCTTGTTTTATATTCAGAACGATGAGGCAGCAATTCTTGAGATGAGATACGACAAGACGTTTTACGTAACCTTCCGAAACTTTCTGCGGCATAACACCAGGAGGAGGGGAAAGTCTGAGTCTGGTGTCTGAGTTTCACCTTATATGGCAATTCTAAAAAGATACGATTAAGAAGAAACGGCGAATCGCCTGAACTGGCGAGTAGCAGTCCATTTCGATCGCATATATCATCATGAACATGCCTTTCGAGGGAAAAAGGGGATTCCTTAAGCAGCAGTAATTTTTAGCATACGACAGTCTCCTGTCGTTTGTGATTTTAACGTTTTCGTCTGGAAAAAGACGAGAATATCCACTTGTGAGAATTTTTGTTCGTAGGTCTGGGTGAGAATAGGGTCCAGAGTCCCAAAGTCGACCCAACGTAGATTGGCTGCCTTGGGCATACTTCATATAACATCTTCACGTTGTGCATCGTTCCTTGATCACCCTCGATCTGCCTTCAACCCAATTACCCAAGTCTAACATTTCCGCGTCCACTCAAGGGTTCCAATAACTGCTGCACTCCAATCGATGACAATAAGTGCGATTCTCAAGCACGAAACGAGGGGAAGGAAATGATGTTCCTCGATCGCAATGCAGCCCAAGTCCCAACTCTAGGTCGGAAGGGAAACTTCAGGCAAGCTTTAACTTCTACAGCAATGAAAAGATTCCTCAAGGAAGTGCTCCTAATGGACATCTGTGGGTGTTTTTTTAATTAAAATTACTTATGGCTAAGATGAAAAGAAAGTTCATATTGACCAAGATGCTGGCGAGATATAGCTGGTGAGAAATAGGCTCCTTCGGGACGTGGATGCCGTTTCAAGCTGCTGAAAACAATTAATTAATTTCAGAATCTCATCCTTTCTTCTAGTTCTAAGAACGATCCGATCTCGAAGCATTTTCAGCGCAGAACGAGGATTAAGTCGGGATATAGATTTCGAACTGGTAAGTGTACGACCGATTGTTTTCCGTCCGAAAGTTATCCGGATCCCCCGCTCAACTGCGAACACTGCGTTCATGAATCACATCTCGTTCGCGTTCATTAAGGATACGGCTTACGAAGGGTACAGAAGGCCCGACGGAAATGGAACGAAGAGCTTGCGGCAACGAGCGAGTCCGCTTTCTAGGAGAACCCACATGCAGGGGCTTTCTTCTCTCCCTTTCATTAATAATGGCGTATTCTCATCTGCCTCTTTATTTTCCGAGCCATAATATCTCATACAAACTGGCCTTTCTGGCAAATTTGTATGAGATATTATGACTCACCCTGGACAAAATATGTACTTTACTGTACGTTTCTGCTTTGTTGTGTACGATGTCACTGAAGTTCGAAGCGGTTTTATGGAAGTCGCTGGCTCTCAATGCGAAGAATGTTTTCAATACTTTTTTTTTATCAGTAGGCTTATGCTAGCGGTTGTAGTGGACATTCGATCGGGTCCCTGAAGGACAATAGGGGAAAGTTAGTTGCTGATAACGAAGGCCTGCCCAGGATTCTCAGCGATTTCATGTGCGTGTTCATGAGCGAATACAATAAAGTCCCCACGATCACAAAGTCACTGTGATGTGCATGGAGTATATCATCTTCACCGAGGAAAAGATCACGAGTAGGATCAGGAAGCTTTAGGCCGGAACGGCATCCGACCCCGATGGGATTCCGGCAGGAATCTCCCCCAGGAACTCGGGAGAGAGGTATCAATACCGTTGAGAATCATCTTCGAGAAAATCATTTTGCATTGATAAGTGCATGGGGATTGAAATTGGATTTGCTTTGGAACCTGAGGAGGGTGAAGCAAAGAAGTTGGGGTGAAGCCTTTCCTGCATGTCAAACACTGGGTTTTCCCGACCATGATACCCGCTGTGTCCACGAATATTAGATAGAAGGAATTCGACTGTCTGTAATCATAATTTCTCTATAAGAATGAACAGAAGAATATCTACTTGAATTATGATTGAATGTGAAAATTGGAAACTATGAATAATATCATCATTCAAAAATTGCAAAAGAATGTCGTGACGATATGGCACGAAAACGAAAAAAGTTCGACTAAGTATATGAAGAACAATTAGCGAAAAGCTAGTCTAAAGGAAAAGGATAACTTTCGCAGATATTTCCAAGTATTAGGATTGGTCGCGTTGGTATCCGAGAAGCAGATACTCGGATGTTAGGTGGACTGAATGCTAGGTGGAGCAGGATGACTCTCTTACTGGTATCACTGGATCTTGAAGGCTTCATAGACGATGTCGTGAGAGACAGTTCAACCCATTCTCGTACATTACCCGTTATCTGGTCTCAGGTGAAAAAATGCATGCTCCCTCTACGGCCATGAAATGATAGCCTCTTACTTTTTTTTTAACCCAGAGGAATTTATTTTGTGCCTCGGCTGCAATGGTCTAATCCTACATTCAAAGAATACAACTAGAAACTAGAATACAGAAAATAAAGAAGGAGGGGGGTGCATAGTTTATTCAATAAGTATTAAGGATACCCAGTCGGCACAACAGCATTGTCAACATTGAGAAAAGGTTGAAACGTTGAGACTTGGTCGAAGTTGAGAATTCGACGAAGAATCAGCATCAATGAAATGCTGGTTGTTTGTAATTAACCGTATTTTCATCATATGTCGACTCCTCGCGGATTAGCGAAGTCGTTCAGAGGCTATTAAGCGCAAATTCGCTTTTCATCATGCAGTAGTCTTACTGTCGTTTCTACGTGGAATAATCCACATCATATCAAAAAAAGGATCTACGAATCGACACGAGATGGCGCCTAACGGTCGATTCAGCAATCCTTACCCTGGTACCATGAAATAAATAGTACTTGATATTTTTCAAACAATATCCAATCTTTTTCCATGTACTGTAGAATGTAGGGAAGGCATATAAATTGCTAGATAGACCTGTTTAAGGAGGTAACCCAGCAGAAAGACCCTAAAAAAACTTCTGGCCAATGGGTCCGAGGTGACATGCTGAATTTACCCAAATCATTCCCGATTCAGTCATCCCTTCAATCTCTTCGCCAAATCGATTCTAATGCTTATTCAGGCACTGGACAAGGGAGCAGGTACTGCAATGCTCAAACGATGTCAATTCAACGCTGGCACAACGTTTCTCAGCAGCAACTCATCAACGGTGAACTGTGTTTCTTTTCAACATTTTCTCAATGCTGGCACAACGTTGTTGTGTCGAATGGGTACATTCATGCAAGTGTGATCAATTCAAGGGGGCGGGTATAATAATTTATCACAATTACTTTCATAACTTAAATTATTAATGGTGAATTATCAATGATCTGTATTACTCTCTCCTATTGCGGATATGTGAAGTGGTTTATGAATGACTTGTCATTGTCAACGCTTAAATAAGGCGAAAAAAGTGAAAATCGATTGGGTAAACTTGGAACATATAAAAGGATTTCAAAAAGACTCTCATCTCAGACCTATTTGGGATGTCACTCCACGCATACAAGTACATCTTTATTTTCTTCGTCAGATTTCGAAAGGGCATCATTGACGGATTAAAATTCAATTATTCAAGTGATCAGTCTGCAGCTTATCAGTTAATTGACCGATCAACACGCGATTTGCGTTTTTCTTTCATTTGTTCTTTATATAGCGTTTATATTGAGGTTCAATCGTACTCTCGGATCACGTTTTTACTAGAGGAAGCTGGTGTCCCTCGCCCAGGCACAAGGTCCACAACTTCCTGAAAATACGAGACAAAAGCCAAAGGAGACACTGGACGACGAAGAGACCTGCGATTAATCCCCATATGTACTTGGCAAACACTTCCGGTTGATTCCAATTCAGAAAGAAATAGGCGTACTTGGCGCCATCTGCGTTATACGTTCCCCCGGCAGCGAAATAGATCCCCGTGAATATGATGTAGACGGAGGAGTAGACGAAAGGAATGTAGAAATGGTGAATCCGAAACGGACGGAGGTCAATGCACAAGTTCATCATCACTTGAAGGGCATTTGAAATGTGGGCCACTCCATTACTCAATGACACTACCTCTCCTGGAGCTATAGTGGAATTAACAATAAAATGAAACAAGATCGTGTTATCTCGTCGACGGAGAAATCGTCGAAATCACGAGGATGGGTTCCATAGCCTTACCGAAAAGAAGACTCCAGTAAGCAATGGTGACAATGAAGGCAGCATTATGGGAAATGTTCCCCAAAATCCAAGAGGTCTTCAAGGCCCAATTCATCTCGTCCAGGACTACACAATAAAATAAGTCAAGATATCAGATTTTGAATGGTTTTCTTACCGAAAAAAGGAAGGTTAAAGTGAAATCTAACGAACCATATGTCGCCGTCTGGTCATAGTATAGGGTGATACAGGCCTTGAAAAAAGTGTCGAGGAATAGAGTTGTCAACGACCAGTATGTAAAGGTGGTGTAATTGTAACGCGCATTCGGAAAGGTGAATGTGTAGATCATCCAAGCAAAGAACAATAGAGCATGAATGCAACTCAGCGACGCAGTCAACAGATGTGGTCGAGTTCCACCATCCCACTAGAAATGTTCATGTATTTTCATGATTAGTATGGAATACTAATTGACAACTTTTTGGCATCTGAGAAAAGATTCAGTCTGTCGATTATGTAATATACATCCAAAAGTAGATGAGAGCATTGTCTGACTAACCTGGGCTCGGATAAATTCCGTCGGTTCATGGTATCCTAGAAGGAAGTCAGTTTTCCGAATGGCAAACTTTGATGCTCCCATCTTGCTGTGAATGAACGATGAATTCTCATCTGCCTCTTTATTTTCCCTCCATTCTCATCATGCGATAGATGGAATCACAGGACAAGATGAGAACGAGTGGGGACTGCTAGGCCATGCACGTCCTTGATCTAATATATTGATAGTTTTTTTTCCAAGCTTCTTCGGCCCGTACGATAAGCGTCGACTCTTGATAAAGGATACAATGTCATTTAACACGTTGACGACCAGCCTATTTTTGCTTGTCCGCCGCGTGACCGGGAATTGAACCCGGGCCTCCTGATTGCCGGTCAGGTGTGCTACCATTACACCACCGAACCCAGGACATTCAGTCATGCCTCTCAACACTGCCTTCATCACATATACATACAAAAGTAGATGAGAGCATTGTCTGACTAACCTGGGCTCGGATAAATTCCGGATAAAATGGTATCCTAGAAGGAAGTCAGTTTTCCAAATGGCAAACTTTGATGCTCCCATCTTGCTGTGAATGAACGATGAATTCTCATCTGCCTCTTTATTTTCCCTCCATTATCATCATGCGATAGATGGAATCACAGGAGGACAAGATGAGAACGAGTGGGGACTACTAGGCCATGCACGTCCTTGATCTAATATATTGATAGTGTTTTTTTTCCCAGCCCGTACGATAAGCGTCGACTCTTGATAAAGGATACAATGTCATTTAATCATTCAAGTGACTTTTTCCTGTCATAAGTCTACGTGAATGAATTATAGATAAGCAAGATTACTGAGAGTCTTGGGAACACTTGAAAACCGAATATTTGAATTAAAACGTTCTCTCCTATTGAAATGTTCGATTTTACAATCACGACCCTCCAGAGCTCCTGCGAAACTGGAGGAACCTTAAACATGCTGTCTTCGGTCTTGTTTTCGTATTGTTTATCATTAGAGAAGTAGACTCCCAGGTTCTTTAAGTTCTCCATCTGTTTATGTGGGGGCCTTTGAAAACGTCAGGTGCACTTTAAATACTCTTATAGAGGACCAAAATCTGCATCTGAGGAAGCTCACTTTAATTCCGGCCGCAGTGCATTCTGAGTCGAATCGATCGAGGTCGCTCTAAGACTCCTATCTGGACTGGGTGAACAGGACGACACCACAAGAAAAAATTTTTTTTTCTACATTCATACTACTATAGCTGACCCATCTCAATTCGAAGCTACGCTTTTAGATCCTGTCCATGTTCAAAAAGGAAAAGGAGAGGAGTAAGAACGCCCAAGTACAAACAGCCTCTTTTTTAGATCTTATCCATGCGTAATATTTGCTCTAAAAGCGGGCAATACTGAGATATACAAATTGATCTTGTTTGTTAATAACACTTGACCTATTATAGTACCTTTTTTGCATCATAACAAATTAGATTCTTCAATACGTGCTAAGAAATCTATAGATTTATCCGATTAGATTCGAGCCACACAGGGACCTGAAGGTCGTTCCCTCATTAGCACAATGATACGTTGCTTTTCTTCAGACCGACATTTTGGTATCTGTCGTCGAGATCTTTAGCTCTGATATGAGTAATATTATTAAAGGAATTGTCATAAATCAACAAAAAACCATGAACAAAAATTCATGCCGATGAGACATATACTTTTCATCAAAAATTCAATGAAACAAGAATGCTCCCTATATTCTGACATTTATTTCACCACTTTGAATATGAAGGGGAACTCTTTCGATTAGACCCAATTCATATTTTTATTTAAATGTAACCGTGAAACGGAATGGGACAAACATGATCGATTTCTTCACTTTCATGGTTCGAGGCATAATGAGTTCTCGCAGAAAAATTTGACTATGCAAACTTCTGAGTGACAAAAGTGACAGTTGTAGCTGAAAAACAAATCTCCCATGTTAATCGGGCCGAGAACCTATTGGGTGCTCTTCGTGAATGAGCAAAACATTAGATTAACTTGAAATGTGATTCTTTTGGTTTCGTTATCCCAGACATATTCATCTTCCATGATATCGCCACCCACCCGAAAGAATTCAGGTTCATGCACAGCTCATTTTGGGCATGACGTAAGTTAAACTAAGTACAATATTTCAGTCTCCCGGTTAGTATCTTGCAAATCTGAAAGACCAATACCTCTTGTAGGGGTAAGCCTGTACAAGCTGCGGCTAGGGCACTTATAATAACGTTGAAAGTCAATGACCCCTACTTTATACTTACCTGGGCCTAATACTTAGGGACACCCTGGGTATTAGGTAGCTGCAGTCGATTCATCGAAGAAAAAAAAGCTTTCGGCAACCGAGGAAGCTTCAGGGCCAGGATTCGGCTGGCAAGTATGGCGATAATTTTCTACGATACTGAAAGTCATTCACATCGGATACTAGCTCCTTAACAATACGATGTACTAGTCGGTGCCTCGCCTCATTACAGAGGGGATAGAGAGTCACGAAGAACCGATGAGGAAAGTTGAGGAAATGGGTTTTAGCATGTTAATGCATCAATGGTAACCTCTTAAATCGGCGAATTGTTTTTGTAAATATGCACGGTCTGACCCTTCCTACCCTATTTACAATTAATACCTTAAGTGTCTTCTGAAATCTATAGAGTAAGTGACTTCTTTACTGACTCATCAGTAAACTAATGACTTGGTTGAGTTTGCGCCCATGTTCTGACTTATTTCAAACACCAAGAATCAAGATATTCGAAAGCAGTGTGTTATCCTATTTGAGAAGATCTATACAACTAATCCAAAAGTCAGAATGACTTCTCGACTGGGACCGGGCTAGGAAACATCTTCAAAACCCGTAGAAGATAGATTCACTCGACAATAGGAATGAGGATTTCCGTCAACTACGAGTTTTCCAGTTTCGATACGGAAGGAAGGTTGGGAGGACGAATGGTATGGGGACAGTAGCATACTTTTAATACCGAAGGTATAAATATACCTAGAACTACCGTAGCGGTCATTTTGACCCCTATATTAAGAGTCTTATAAAAACATTATTCTGTAAATTTTAATTATTTAAAGTTGTTTATGCTCAACAGAACTAAATTGGAAGAAAAATAGTCTGTTCAAAATTTTTAATTTTAGGAATGTTGAAAAGGATATTTGGCAATGTATTTCTTAGAGTCTAGGTGCTTATGGAATCAATACAGGTATGATACATAAGCACATGTGCAGAGCACTAGCCACACACGGCCTTCTTGCACAGGGCAGAGCCATCATGCATCTTGCTCCCATCATCATGATCATAATAATTTTTATAATAAATTAAGCTTACTTCATATTTGTTTCTGGATTCAGCTTCAGATAAGGCTTTTATTAGCTGCAAGCCCTGCAGTTCAGTTGCACGTTGTTTCTTTGTATATTCTTTTTCTCAACACAAACATTTTACAGCATATACATACATAGATACAGCATATACATACATAGATACAGCATATATGTCGCAGAAAAACTAAATCTCAACTTGTCAGAAAAAGTATCCATCACATACAAGACGTGTGCGTTACTTTGAAGTTCAGCTTCAAGTACAGGCACGTTCTCACAGCAAATCGGCATGTGATCACAGCAGGTCGGTCGCAAGATTACAGCAGGTCGACTGCGAACACTCCGTTCATGAATCACACCTCGTTCGCGTTCAGTAAGGATACGGCTTACAAAGGGTACGGAAAGCCCGGCAGAAATGGAACGATGAACTAGCGGCAACGAGGGAGCCCGCTTTTTCGGAGAACATTCAGGGGCTTTCTTGTCTCTCATTAATTATTTATACGTAGTATCGATTCTGATACTACGATGTACGATAGTTGCGTGGTAACGATGTAGAATTACCCAACAGGACATGGCATAAAAAGCAGTCTTTATAGTGTCACGGGAGAAAAATCATTTTTAATGCTGATTCATTCCGACCTTTCGACGAAGGTTGCGAGCCCGTGTTTTGCCCATGTGGTGTCTTGAAGCGACGAGGTTGTAGCCGATGATCTAAATAGGGGACCTACGGCCTCCACGTGGGTCTTTTGAAGCGCCAGGATGTCGATGTTGTTGATCTTCAAAAGCCTCTGAGGACTTCGTTCTTGGCTCTGGATTGTCCCTCGATGTTAAGCTGCATAATGCGCATTGAGGGGCCTATATGGCTGGTGGTTTGGCCCTGGCCTAGTAAATTAAAAAATTTCTCAAAACCTATAAGAGATATGCCCTCAAATTTTGGATATTGTTCTGTATTGGTCATGAGGTTTGGTGAAGACGAAAAATCATTCAAAATGGCCACCATTGGCATGGACTACAAGTTCAAGACGGCTTTTGAAGGCCTAGGCCGCGGCACGCACGTAAGAAATGGGCATTTTAGCCCACTCCTTTGTCAGGGCTGACTTGAGGAAGTCCAAATTCGTTTGGTTGACAGCACATGCCTTGGTCTCCAAGTAGTTCCACACGTTGAAGTCCATGGGACTCAGANGACGCCGATCCCGTGAATATTATTGCAACTTTCAGTTACTGGGGATGAAATATGAATGGACCCGGAT